TTTGCGAGGTACTCTCTACAAAGATGAGCTCTTCGTGGCTTTCGCGGGAGTAGACGGTCAACAGACTGCATGGATGCCCCTACCGGTCGAGCCTTCCAAGGCTCCCGTGCGAGCTGGTGACCTAAAGTCAGTAGTGCTGCCCTTGTAGGTCGAGCTCCTAAAAGCTTCTTGTAGGAGTGGGTAACCGACGTCACTCACGAGGCTAATGCAACACAGCCATAGTTCTAAAGCACGACCTGGCCCAAGCTCCGACCTAGTGGCCTGGCCCAGACACGACCTGACGGCCTGGCACGGGCGCCGACCTAACTGCCTGGCCCAGCGCGAACTATGTTGGAAGTGCTACAGTTGGGTGAATTCCTTCACCGGATATCATTTGGAACGTAGCTGTACCAATTCTAGGGATGGGTTCTTGGTCCAGGTAAGAGGGAATGGTCCAAGTGGGTAACGGTTGTGGTTCCAGTTGGTTCATATACAACATTGTAGTACGGGTCAATATATCTTTGGAGGAACTGCTTTACCCGTAAAGAAATCACACATTTGTCCCTTGCGAACTGTTAGCAAGACATTAGATGAAGTGTCCAGATGATAGTTGCGTGGCCTCCCATGTCTTCTCTTACCTGTGAGCAGATCGATGGTTCCCAAGCCCCCAGTTTTAGTGAGATAATGTACTGCAATAACGGGTCTATGAGGCTATGTATGGGAATCACGTGGCATGTCAAAGTTGTGCAGGTGTTGCGCATGAGTATTACTTGATTGTGCATAATCGCCAGATGGCTGTTGAAAGATAATATCATGCATGGGGGTAGAATTGGGATTAGGATCATAATGGGGAAATATATTGTTCGTGGTGCATGCATGGTGCGTCGGGTCCTACATGGGTGAAAGGTGGCTGCCCGCACGTGCATGGCACGCCGGGGTGGTGTTTCCGTGCATGCATGGTTGACATGTGGCTGCTCGTGGCTGCTGTCATGATGAACATAGCTGCACTCGTCGGGATCCCGTTGCATGGGTGTCGGTGAGTTGTTAAAGACCAAGGCAAGAAGATCACCTGAATGCTTAACACACTGTCTCTTACGGCGACTGGAACCATCTTCCGAATCTTCATCCGAACCTTGCTCGCTATGGAGAATTTTACATGTACCTTGATTATTCAAGGATTGAATAGAGTACTTTGGTATGTTAAACTGCTTCTCCGGTTGGAATTCAGCCCGAAGCCAATCACCAGGAAAGTCGATGGTGCGAGAGTCCAAGTATTGCTTATAATCTAGAGTGGAATGATCCAATCTTTTGCAGTTGATCCAGATATGCCCAATGAGTTTGTAGTTGGCACATGTACGTGGAAGTTGTTCATAACAAAACCTCATCCATATTGGCTTTCCACGAAAGAAGATAAAACGGCTTGTGAGAAGAGGACGTCTAAGGTTTATGGTAATTTTCTTACGAACAAATAGGCCTCTGATAAGCTGGCCAGTGGGAGTTCTTACATGATTTGTGTCTGAGGAGGCAAATTACTGTCTTCAACAGTAGCTCGAGGAAGCATGTGGATTTGGAGCCATACTCTGGGTCCAGATCTTATCAACCGTCCATGTCATAGAGTCTTGACGAATCAATTTTTTTGTTTATATATCAATTTTTTGTGCTAAGTACCTAGATGTCGAGCTGACTAGGCCAAGCTGGGGGCAGATTAGGTGCCGAGTTAATTGGGCTGAGCTGGGCAGGTTAGGTGCCGAGCTGACTGGGACGAGCTAGGCAGTTTAGGTGATGAACTGACTAGGCCGAGCTAGGCAGGTTAGCTCAGCTCCGATGCTTAAGTCAATACTCTCATAGTAGACTGTGAGCTAAAAATCACAAAGTATATGAGAGCTAGAATATAGTTATTCGCCCCCCCCATGCCATTGGGGTTGGTGCCTTTATATAGGTATAGTTTGGCGTGGGCTTCACGCACTGCATCCGAGATTTCTGAGAAGTTGATTAAGTGGTCTGAGATTCTCTGAGGTAACCGCCATGCACGTTGACCACCCTCCGGATCGTTCGGCACGTGGGCCAACTTCCAAGGATCGTGGGAGTGTTTGGATATGCATGCCAAATTTGTCGGTGAGCACGTCTCGCAGGTCGCCAGGTTGGTGCCTGGGCTAGGCTGCCAGTTTGCGCCTGGGCCAGGCCGCCAGGTCGGCACCCGTTCCATGCTGCTAGGTCGCACCTGGATCGGGCCGCCAGGTCGTGCTTGTGCCAGGCCGCCAGGTCGCGCCTGGGCCAGTCCGCCAGGTCGGCGCCCGTGCTAGGCCGCCATTCGCGCCTGTGCCAGGCTGCCAGTTCGCGCCTGGGCCAGGCCGCCAGGTCGCGCCTGGGCCAGGTTGCCAGGTCGCGCCTGGGCCAGGCCGCAAGGTCAGCGCCCGTGCCTGGCCACCAGGCCGCCAGGTGGGACACCATCAACTTGGCTAAGGCAAGTTGTTGCCCAAGTGGTTTCGGGTGTCACCTAGTTGTTCCGAGGTGCCATGTTGTCACGGGGGTAGTTCTACAATGGAAGAAACCCGTGCGGCGTCCAGCCAAGGTAGGCCAGGACAAGCCTTTGTGTGCTGCAAGGCTAGGAGTTGCCCGATGAGATGGCTCCACCAAGGTCAGTAGCACTAGATCAAGACCTCAAGTCGCATGGCCGGGGCACTCGGTTGGCTATGGCCGGTCCATGGGAGGCGCCGCTTACGTGCTAAAGGGGGAAGGCCATGAAGTGAGGCGACTGTGCGCCGAAGAGGTGACTTGGCACTGATGTGAAGGGTCTCCTATATGCCAATGATGTGGGCACCTGTGTGCCATGATGATAGGCAACTGCTGGGCCGAAACACACCCGTGTGCTAGGGGCAACGGGATAGCTCATTCAGCTTGGGCAAGGGGCTGGCGTGGTGAAGGGTCATGCTTGAGCCAGGCCCACATGCCAAGCCTCCCTTGAGTGTCAGTAGCGTAGTGCCGGTCCATGCACTGCCCCCATGAGCATGTGTGCGCCCATGAGGAACCCTGGTAGCCATGCTAGCCATTAACTAGGGCCGCCCCGCAAGGGATGATGGTCTAGGAGTGCCAAGGTTAGGCACCCAAGGAGGTCAACCACCCCTCCTCAAAGAGTACGTTAAACTTTTGGTGGTCTGCCTGAATATAACATCAATTCTCCCAAAAATCTTATAGGCAAAAATGACGGTGATGTCCCTTAACGTAAGCCTGCCAAGCGTAGGCAAGGCTAAGCCTGTGTCAGACCGTAACAATGTGTCAACATGTCAGTGGAGGGCCAGATCCGCCCTCATCATTTGCCCCCCACTCTCGAGCTGAAAGTAACTCGGTGAAGGGAGTAGATCGCTCCTTTTGGCCTGGAATGAATAATAGCTGATAAAAGACCTCAGCACCACATAAGACCCAATCGCCTCTTTGGCATGGGCAAAATCAAGGAGGGTGGACTACGAGTCGCTCCTAGAGCCTAAGGGCTAAAGTGCCGAACTGGCAAAGACGTCGACACCACATAAGACCTAGTCACCTCTTCGGCATGGGCAAAATCAAGGAGAGTGGACTGCAAGTCGCTCCCAGAGCCTAAGGAATTGAATCGACGCCTACGAGCTCATCGAATTATTCATTCCAGGCCAAAAGGAGCAATCTACTCCCTTCGCTGAGTTACTTTCAGCTCGGGAGTGGGGGACAAATGATGAGGGTGGATCTGGCCCTCCACTGACATGGTGACACATGGCACCTCGGAACAACTAGGTGACACCCAGAACCACTTGGGCAACAACTTGCCTTAGCCAAGTTGATGGTGTCCCACCTGGTGGCCCGACACAGGCGCGACTTAATAGCCTGGCACAGGCGCCGACCTGGCGGCTTGACCCAGGCGCGACCTGGCAGCCTAGCACAGGCGCAGCCTCCAGGTCGGCGCCCGTGCCATGCTGCCAGGTCGTGCCTGGTACAGGCCGCCAGGCCCAGGCGCAACCTCCAGGTCAGCGCTTGTGCCATGCTGCCAGGTCGCGCCTGGTACAGGCCGCCAGGTCGGCGCCCGTGTCAGGCCGCCAAGTCGGCGCCCGTGTCAGACCGTCAGGTCGCGCCTGTGCCGGGCCGCCAGGTCGGCGCCTGGGCCAAGCCGCCAAGTGGGACATCATCAACTTTGGCTAAGGCAAGTTGTTGCCCAAGTGGTTCTGGGTGTCACCTAATTGTTCCGAGGTGCCATGTGTCACCATGTCAGTGGAGGGCTAGATCCGCCCTCATCAGTGCGAGAGTCCAAGTATTGCTTATAATCTAGAGTGGAATGATCCAATCTTTTGCAGTTGGTCCAGATATGCCCAATGAGTTTGTAGTTGGCACATGTACGTGGAAGTTGTTCATAACAAAACCTCATCCATATTGGCTTCCCACGAAAGAAGATAAAACGGCCTGTGAGAAGAGGACGTCTAAGGTCGATGGTAATTTTCTTACGAACAAATAGGCCTCTGATAAGCTGGCCAGTGGGAGTTCTTACATGATTTGTCTCTAAGGAGGCAGACTACTGTCTTCAACAGTAGCTCGAGGAAGCATGTGGATTTGGAGCCATACTCTGGGTCCAGATCTTATCAACCGTCCCTGTCATAGAGTCTTGCTATTCTTCTAGCAAAATCCAACTCAAGCGGTAGAACCATGGCCCACCTTCAAGAGCTATGAGTTTGTCACTCTGGTTTGCAAAAGAGAACTCCATGCTACCTCCTTCGAGAAAACGAACTGAGATTGTGTCTGTTGGCTTCCATCGTAATCGAACATGGTTGGCGAGGGCCTCTTCAGTTCCCTGTTGACGTGGGAAAATGCGACCCTTTAAAGTCAAATTAATGACTTGGATAGTTGGATTGCTTCCTCGATTGGTTCAAAGGAGAGTATTTGGTTTTCATCAACAACATTTACTACTTGAGAAAAGAGAGTTTCGAAGTCTTCAGGATGTTTTATGATTTGTTTCCCTTTCAGAGACATAGTAAATGCTCACGTGAAGGAAGTTTGGGAAAAAAGTGGTGGAATCTCACTACAGTTGAGCCAGACAAAAGGACAGTGACAAAGTAGTTAGGTGACGAAAAGATGAGGCTGGTTTGGTAGCTACGTCCAAATGAGAATCCGGTGGGGTCTAGGTGGTGGTGAGGTTGGTTTAAAAGAGAAAATCAGAGGGAAACAAACCCTAGGCTGCTAGATCTGAGGTGAGGTTATGGTTGGTTAGTTTCTTAAGGTAAGAGAGGAAGGATAGACTGGTAAGTTTGGAGGTGAAGGATTATTTAGCAAGAAGATGTTGATGCAAACAAGGCTTCATGGAAACAAGATTTCTGATACAGACTCGAGGTCGGAAAGAAGATGTGGACAGTATTCCAGCATAATTCAATGAAATTCACCAGTGTCCAGTGTAAGCCGTTTGGAGATCATTCGAACTTCCCTCCCATTCTCTCATCCGAGTCCTATCCCTGGAGCAGACCATCGACAACTTCACTGTGCAACTGGCGTTCGATGACATGGAATCGGCCGACGGTAATAACTTTCTTCTTTTCCTCGTTCTCCTCCTCCTCCTCCCAAACTAACTTCTTCTCTAAACTCCAAATCAGCAGTTCCAAAGCTGAAGTTATACCTGAACTCTTTCATCTCTGAACTCCAAATTGGCGGTACCCTGATCTGCAAATCGAAGGTCCAAAAACAGGTATCTCTCTAACATTTGTTGATATTAAATGTTTAAAACTTTTAATTCCAACATTCTCTTGTGGTGCCTTATACTTCCTGAAACCAGTTCTGTATCATGCTCCATTTGATTAACTGAAAATCTGAAACTGGGCATCGGGTGACTATTTGGGCCATCCATAGATTACTTTCATGCAATTGAGGAATATACCCTCCAAAATCCTAAGAAATAATTGAACATATACAATTGAAAGACAGATCCGAAGGTGTCAATTATGTGTCTGTGTAGAAAGATGATGAATAGTTGCATCACAGTAAAGCTAATCAGGACAGTTTATTAAGTGATCTCATTAATCCACTACTTTTATATCAAAAAGTATTTCTGACTTTTAATGGGTTTTGTATGTTATGAATAGTCTTTGTGTATATCTAGTACAGATTTGATATCTAATTGAAGAAATCTCTATATAATTTATTTTCATTGCAAGGAATTCTAAGAAAATAAAAGGTGTAAAATGTCTACTTTCATTTTTTTTTTATGGATAATTAAATGTTTACCTTCAATTGTGAATGGAAAACGGCTCTGTATAGCTCCACAATGTAGAGTCTACTTCAAATCCATATTATTTATGATTGATTCCCATAGAAGAACCAATGTCTGCTGCTAGTTTGTATGCTTTTGTTCTAGTGGAAGATATAAAAAAAATAATAAAGAAAGGGATATGAAGTTACTATAACTGTTTGATTTATAAGAATCAAGACGATCTATTGATTGGACCCCAAAAAAAACACACACACATCAAAACTCATTCCTATTATCCTATATATATTAACCAATAAGCATGCAATTGCAAATTGGCAACAATAATTTTAACCATGAATCATCTAAGTCCAGAATCAGCTATGGTATGTATATTAGATACATATTTTATATAGGTTAATGATTTTTTTTGTTATTCATTTTGTCTTAATAGACCTTTCTAACATATGATATTTGTCTTAAATAGGCTTCATTCTATTATTTTGATATTTTGATAAACCAACACTATAAACACCCATAATGAAATATTCAGCATAATCTGTAAACCATTTGTAAATAAGTCAATGGAGATATTTAAATTGATGATAAAATCATGAAATATTTAAGGTACTGAAAAAATTGTGAAGAGCTTCTCCACACTATGAAAGAAAACAAAAAATAAAATCATTGGAGAGGAGATAAGAGCTGAACCAAGACTATACTTGAGCAAATATAGTGGAAGATGTCGATAGAAGCTCTTGAATTTTTATGGGATCACTCAACAAAAACCAGTAGTAAAAGGATTAATAATGCACACCAAGGTGGTAAATTTTGAAAAGTCTTAACTTATGATCACTCACCAAAAACCAGTGGTAAAATTTATGGGATCACTAACCAAAAACCAGTGGTAATTTTTATTTATTTATTTATTTTGAAAAGGCTAAACTTAATGATCTTAGTGCAACAACAATAATGCTCTTTTCTTCTTTTTTAGACAAAAAAGTGCAGTTTTCTCATAAAAAGTAAAATAATGCTAAATGCAGGATTTGATCCAAGGTCTGGGTTTAAAACCACCCAAAATTTTACCAAGCTAGATGGAAAAAGTAATGAAAACAATAATATTTTGAAACAAAGAAAAAGCTTTGTTAGTTCAGCCAATTTGCAGTTTACTGGACGAGGGATGCTTTGGATTGGCAACATGTTCAATCCTTCAGTCAACATCATCCCTGTACTCCATCTTTTATTGTTATTTTCCTGACTGATATTGCAAAGTTTGAAACCTTTCAAATTTCAGAATAATCAAAAAAGGCTTATTTTGGAGATGTGGCATGGGTTCTTAAGTCTTTCCTATGACAAATATGTGGCATTTTCTTACAGTGTTATCTTCTTTTGGGTTCTTAAGTCTTTCCTATGACAAATATGTGGCATTTTCTTACAGTGTTATCTTCTTTTCATTTTTTAGGCAGATGGACTTGATGTAGAGCCAAGGGTTGGAGTCCCTGGTGATTGGCATGTATACTCAAGCATTGGCTGATGGTGGGTGAGACAGACCCTTTCTACAACCCTCTAAATAACTACATGATCCATATAGATGAAAAGAAGCAATTTGTGAGCTCATTATGTGTTTCTTAGGTGGAAAAGGATCAATGTTCAGAAGCAGGAGCTTTTGTTGCCATTGTCATTCACCCCCAGAGGGAATCAACATTTTGAGTTAAGAGCTGTTGATGTATCAACAACCGGATAAGATGGCATCACTTAGGCTTGGTAGGTGATGCTTGTAATAAGGCCTTAGCTTCTATAGAAAGTACTCTCAATGTAAATATGATCTTGAAAGGACAACACACTGCTCAGAAGGCAATACTGAATATTTTACTATGGACATATTGATAGTTATATTATCAGTTTATAATAATATGTACATGGGGATTATTGGAGATAACCCTCATAACCGAACCAGCTTTGGAGATAATCCTCCTGGAGGTTATCCTACTAGATCCAGAACCTCTAACCAATCCAGATCCAATTTGGACTTTGATAAAGATAAGGATAAGGACTGTAAATCAAGATCAAGATAATCCATCATGTACTCTATCTAGCTTTCTATTGTTATCTTGTGCATATCAGTGTATGATCCAAAATTTTCACTACAGTCTATAAATACCACTAGCTTCAGTGCTCCAATTCACCGAAGTCTATTCCCTCATATCTCTCTCTATTTCTGTTATTTCTTTAGTTTAAACTTGGTATTAGAGCCGATGGATTTTTCTCAAGGGAGCAATGGCAGCCGAACCAATGTGAATGCTGGTTCGAATATTTCAGGATCGACATCTTCGATTCCTTCTCTTTAGAATGTGACGCACTACCTTCCCATCAAGCTAGGCAGTGACAACTACCTACTATGGCGTGCGCAGTTCCTTCCTATACTTTGACATCACCATCGGATGGATCTTGTTGAAGGGAAAAAGCAACCTCCACCAGAGATGAAACCTGATCCAGCAGGCGAAGGGAGTATCTTGAATCCAGAATATATCAAATGGTATGACACTGATCAACTTGTTCTAAGTTGGTTAATTTCTTCTTTTACTAAGGGTGTCATGGCCCAAGTTGTGGAATTTTCGACTTCAACAGAGGTATGGTGCTCTCTTGTTACTTCTTACTCAACCCATGCTAGATTTCACATCCTGCAACTTAGGAAACAATTGCACAGTTTAAAGAAGGGATCTTTATCTATTTCTGCTTACATTCAAAAAGCAAAATCTATAGCGGACAGTTTGTCTATTGTTGCTGAACCTATTCATAAATCTGATTTGGTTTTATATATTCTAGTTGGGTTAGGCAATGAATATGAGTCTGTTCTGACTGCCATAACCAACAGACCAAATGCGCATACCCTTGGTGTGCATGATATTATTGGCTCTCTTCTGAACCATGAGATTTGGCTCGAAGAGCAAGGACTTACCTCGTCAGATTTGGGTGTTTCACTAGTTGCTAATGTAATTGGAGTGAAACTGAAAAATAATACAGGGTTCCAGAATCAGCAAAAAAATTTTCAAAATACGTACGGCCGAGGGCGAGGACAACAACAAAATTTTCAGAATTATAATTCTCAACAAAATTACAACCAGAATTAGTTCTTTAATGGTGAACGAGGTAAGGCACCTTCGATTATCTGTCAGATCTGCAACAAACCTGGACATGGTGTGTTCACTTGTAGGAAGGTAAAATACATTTTTGCAAATAATAGTGATCAAAATTATGAACCTACCATCTACAATAGTCACACTACATCTTCTTACAACAATGGTAATTCTTCATTTGATCCAACATGGTATCCAAACTTTGGTGCAACACATCACATGACATTCGATGCTGATAACATCCAAAATCAGTCTGAATACCAGGGTTCAGATCAGGTCAGAGTGGGTAATGGTCAAGGTTTGCAAATAAAGCATACTGGCTCTTCATCTCTTCTCTTTAATCAACATGCTTTCACATTAACTGATATATGTCATGTTCTTGCAATCTGCAAAAATTTATTGTCCGTTAGCAAGTTTATAAAGGACAACGATATATTTTTTGAGTTTCACCATGACCGTTGCTTTGTGAAGGACTATACGGGGAAAATCCTTCTTCGAGGAGTCAGTAGAGGAGGGTTGTACTGCTTCCCATCAACAATAGCCATTTCATACAACTCGACAACTGCACCTTCTGCTCTTGTTGGTGAACGAACAAATCTTCAGGGTTGGCATCAACGTCTTGGTCATGCAGCACTTCGTACAGTCCAGCTAGTCGTCTCTCAGTATGGTTTACTGTATTCTAGCCAAAATTCTAGTTTATTTGTTTGTGAATCTTGTCAAATGGGTAAGAGTCGTCGATTGTCTTTACCTTTGTCTTCGTCTAGGTCTCAGAGTCCTTTGGTTCTAATTTTGCTGATGTATCCCCAGTTAAGTCTAATAAAGGGTATTCTTACCATGTGTTATTTCTTGATGATTTTTCAAAATTTTCTTGGATATATCCCTTAGCATGAAAATCTGATGTCTATGAGGTCTTTTTAAAATTTAAACACCATGTTGAATTGTTCTTCAATTCCAAAATTCGTGCTTTTCAATCTGATTGGGGAGGGGAGTATCGCAAGCTCTCCTTTTATCTTGACTTACAGGGTATCTCCCATCGGGTGTCCTGTCCACACACACATGAATAGAACGGAACAGTTGAGAGGAAACATCATCACATTGTTGAATCCACTCTCGCTCTACTAGCTACCTCCAAGCTCCCCTTCTCCTTCAGGGCTGATGCAATAGAGACAGCCTGCAGTGTTTTGGATGCACCTGCTATCCCCTTCTTCGACTATACAATGCTCATAAGTTTCAGTACCGCTCTTTGCAGTGTATTTTCCTTGGCTACAGTCATTCTCATAAAGGGTACAGGTGCCTTCACCTGTCGACAGGTCGAGAATTTATTGCCCGCCATGTGGTATTCGAAGAAGAACTATTTCCTGGAATTCCTCTAGCTCCATCGCCCACCAGTACAGCAACTCAACCGGGATTCTATCTACATGTACCTTCACATATCCTAGCATCTCAAGTATCTCCTCCTTCAGTTTGGCTACCAGATGCAGCACCTCTTCCTAATCGCACCACTTCCAATTCGGCTAAGAACTCTTCTCCTGTACAAGCTCTTGTCTGCAAGCAGCAACGCTTTCGTACGACGGAGGACTTGTTGGCTCACACACCAGCTGTACCACCACCTACTTGACAGCATTCTATGACCACTCATTCTTTGGATGGCACTCTCCCTGCTCGATCACATCTCACCACTCAGTATCCCATTACAGCCGCCTTACTTAGTTCTCTCTCCTCTGAAACGGAGCCCTGCTCCTATACAGAAGCAGTCGAGTCTCCCCAATGGAGGTCGGCTATGCAGCTGGAATTCGATGCTCTTTTGAAAAATCAAACATGGGATTTCGTGCCATATTATTCTTCTATGAACGTAGTTGGTACTAAATGGGTGTATAAAATTAAGAGGAAATCAGACAGTTCTTTGGAGCGGTACAAGGCCAGACTTGTTGCTCAAGGTTTTCATCAGGTACCTGACGTTGATTTCACTGATACCTTTAGTCTGGTAGTCAAACTAGTAACGATTCGTACCATTTTAGCTATTGCCACTACTCATCGGTGGTCTGTACGGCAACTAGACATCAACAATGCTTTTCTTCATGGACTTATAGCAAAGGACATCTATGTTCGCCAACCCAAGGGATTTGAACGTCCTGACTATTCAGACTATGTCTGCAAGCTGAAGAAGGCCCTGTATGGACTCAAGCAAGCCCCTCGTGCCTGGTATTCTCATTTGGTTTCCACTCTTCTTCATTTGGGTTTCACAAATCTATGGTTGATCCCTCTTTATTTATTTACAAGAATAAGTCTACTATTGTTTACATCTTGGTGTATGTCAATGATATCATTGTTACCTACAATTTTCCATCTACTATTTTATCTCTCCTTCAGCAGATCTCTGTCGTCTTTCCTGTAAAGGATCTTGGCACATTACATTATTTTCTTGGGATCATGGCACAGTGAACCTCTGCTGGTCTTGATCTATTGCAGAAACGGTACATTCTGGACTTATTGCACCGCACCAAACTTGATGGCACAAAACCCTATAGTTCTCCGATGGCAGCATCTGCTCAGCTAAGCAAGACATCAGACACCCCTCTCTCCGACCATTTGACTACAAGAGCATTGTTGGTGCACTACAGTATATCACTCTCACTAGACCGGATATCTCCTTCTCAGTCAACAAGGTTTGTCAGTTCCTTCAAACTCCAACTGATGAACATTGGTCTGCGGTTAAACGTATCTTGTGTTACCTTAAGGGAACCCTAGATCATGGTTTGCATTTTGTTGCATCCTCTACTTCGCTTCTGCTAAATTGACTGGGCCAGCTGTTCGGATGACCGTCGGTCTACGGGTGCCTTTGCTATTTATTTGGGTCGTCACCTCATAAGTTGGAGCTCTAAGAAGCAACATACTGTAGCTCGTTCAAGCACAGAGTCTGAATTTTGGGCTCTTGCCAATAGTGTCACTGAGGTTTTGTGGATTCAGTCTCTTTTGACTGATCTCAAGTTTCCAGTCTCCAAGCCCACGGTATGGTGTGACAATCTTGGTGCTACTTATCTTGCTACTCATCCCATTTTCCATACTAGAACCAAGCATGTGGAAGTTGATTTTCATTTCCTCTAGAATCTTTGTGTGGTTAACAAATTATCCCTTCGATATCTCTGCTCTGAAGATCAAGTAGCTAACATTTTCACAAAACCTCTGGCCACACCACGGTTCAGTCTTCTCCAATCCAAGCTTCACATCCGGACGTTTAGCTTGAGGGGGCATATTGGAGATAATCCTCAACCAAACCAGCTTTGGAGATAATCCTCCTAGAGGTTATCCTACCAGATCTAGAACCTCTAACCAATCCAGATCCAATCTGGACTCTGAGAAAGATAAGGATAAGGACTGCAAATCAAGATCAAGATAATCCATCATGTACTCTATCTACCTTTCTTTTATTATCTTGTACATATCATTGTATGATCCAAACTCTTCACTACACTCTATAAATACCACTAGCTTCAATGCTCCAATTCACTGAAGTCTATTCCCTCATATCTCTCTCTATTTCTGTTATTTCTTTAGTTTAAACTGGGATGATAATGAACATTTTGAACACTAGAAAGTAGAAATGAAGCGTTTTATAATGGTATATAACGATCTTAAATATTTTGGAACCAAGTAGCTGATGCCGACTCCGACTATGTGGGGTATAGGAAGGTTAGCATGGACTAACTTTTGGCATTTTTTTTTACATTAAGTGAATACTTAAAGCTTGAACCCAAGTTTTCATGCTTGTCCGTCCAGATTTTATCATCGCACCAAACAATGGACCATCAAAACCGTCAAGTGAAAATTAACTTGCCTGATGAGATTAACTTCATCATCAGTTGCATCAAAGTTCTTTCAGGGAAGAATAAATCCATGTCAATAGAAAATATAAAGGTTAGAGGTTGCAAACTAGACAGGACTGGATGATCACGACCATGATAGCAAAGCAATCATTTGATTGTATTAAGCATCCTTCATTTTTCTATGATGTCTCCAATTCTCCATTGGTCCACTTTGATGGATACAATCAGTATATGATTACAAATACAGTTACTATTATACCTATGGTTCACAAGGTGGCACATCAAAACAAATGTTATCATCTTCTACATAATATGGCTGAACAAAGCCAAAAATAAAACGTAATGTGAAGCCATTTTCCTCTTTTGATGGTATACAACCAAAGTATTAGTAGAAAGGATCAATGAAGGATAGCACAAGGTTCAGATCCAAGTCACAAAGGTTTATGAGGATGGATAGGGTGTAATGATCAAGCCCTGTATCATGATTATTTGACATGTGAAGCATTGAAGGGATTACATAACACTAATATAACATAAAGCCTAGGCAGGAAGTTCACTAAGCACAATTCAAATTGCATAATATTAACAAAAAGTGGAGCATTGAAGCAATCGAAGAATAAAAAGGAATAATAATACAGGTTCTTTCAATTTCAAGATAAGCACATATTTCAAATACCAAATTTGTAACTACCAACTTTGCTGATAAAAAAATACATTTTATGATTTAAACCTTAAATTAGGCCTTCTAAGAAGAAGAAGAAGAAGAAGAAGAAGGGCTCCTGTTTTTTCTTCTGTGAGAAGAAGAACCAGTACAAGAAGAAACAGCCCTTGCAGCCCAAAAAGAAAAAAAATTATGTGCGCACCTATAGCTATAGCTGTCGTCCTGTTGATTCATTCCACTCGTGCCCTTATTCCATGTTCCTCCACTTTTCTCTTCTCAGTTTAGAGCGAATGCTCTAAAGCTCTAATTACAATACTTCACTATTTTTCCAATCATAATTAAAGATCTGTATACGTAGAACGTGCATCCTTTGGCTTTAATTTTTGGGGCTTCGATTTGGAGATCAGGGTACCGTGATTTGGAGTTCAAGGTATAACTTCGGCTTTGGAACCATTCAAAAGCAAACAATTACAAGAGGAGAAGAAAATGAATACCGTCGGTTGATTCCATGCCGTCGGATGTCGGTTGCGCAATGAAGTCATCAGTGGCCTGTAGGGGTGCACGCCGGACAGTTGGGCCGGGCTTATGGTCAACTTGGGCCAAATCCAGCTTAAAGCCCGAACCTGAGGTCAAGCTCAATTTTCCCAACCTAAGCCCAACCCTTTGATGCATTCGGATTGGGCTTGGGTTGATTAATGAATAAAATTAATCCTGACTTCTTTCAAATATATCAATTAATAAAATTAATCAAGTTTCTGAATTTCTCAAACATCGCATGGGGCCCTACTAGTTTACCCTTAAAAATGATTTAAATATTCATCTATGATAACCACTCCCTTGCAACCCCTCAATGAAACATGGCACGACAACGATGAAAAATAAAAAGCAGTTTGGGTGTGAAATTATTTCCAATTTTCCATCACTACGTTGCATGGTTTTCAAAACCATACTAGACCGGATGGTCAGACTGAAAAATCGGGAATCGATAAGGTGATTGATTCCGTTTTACCCTAAAACCATTATTTTGCCAAAAAACGTTGATTTGATCAACAAACTGCTGACCCAGGTAGTCGAACTGTCTAACAATTTTGCTATTTTTTATAAATTCTTTTACTTTATTATCAAAACAGGCCATCTGTTCAGTTCGAACGATCGAACCATTCGACCCGAGAACTAGACCCCTAACTGGTTCGTTGTCCGGTTCAGTTTTAAAAACCTTGCTACATTGTTTGTGTTTGGGAGTGTCATAAGGGATGACCATTGATGGTTTGAGGCAAGAATAGGGACAGCAACTAGGCGGGTTCAAGGAGGGTTTTGTAAATTCTAGATTCTATCATTCCCTTAAACCTTCCAATCCATTGAAAGCCTTGACTTTAAAGAGAAAAKGGGAGAATTTGGAGAGGAAGACAATGACCTCAGGAGAGAATTGAGAAGACAGTTAGAGGATTGCCTGCACAAGGAGGAARTTAGMTGRAGGCAAAAATCTCGGTGTAAATGGTTGCAAGAGGGAGATAGAAACACTAGGTATTTCCACTCTCTAGCAGATGGCAGGARAAGGAAKAACTTTATCTCCAAATTGGTAGTAGATGGAGTTGAGTTAGTACTGCAAGAGGAGATTGTCAGGGCCTGTGTGGAGCATTTCAAATCTATTCTAAGAAGGCCTRTGAGTARAAGGGTGTGGGTAGAAGGTTTGGATTGGCCAGATGTAGGGGTGGAGAACAGGAGAATGATGGAAAGAAGCTTTAATATAGAAGAGATCAAGGAGACTGTGTTTTCTATGACTAGAACAAAAGCTCTAGGGCCGGATGGGTTTACAATGGCTTTTTATCAGGATTGTTGGGATATTTTGAAAGATGATCTCTTGCGGGTGTTTGAGGAGTTTTTCAGGAGAGGAATTGTCAAT